AGAATTCTCGAGTACTTATGAGTAAGAATGGTTTTGATAAACATACCGATCCCGTGGAAGCACCTCGGTTATCGGAGTATAATTTCGGTGTCGATGCATCGGGGATCATATCGGCCATCGGAAGGATCAAAGACACCAGGTGGCCCAGACCTATACAAATCGATCTTTCTCAAAGAAATCCAAACTTGATATGTATGTATCACGGCACACATGGCCATAGGACCGAATACTGCAAACAGATGTGGGAGGAGGTAGCTCGATTGTTCAACGAAGGCCATATTCGAGAATTTCTTAGTGATCGAGCTAAGAATCACTTCAGAGAAAGAGACGCCAACAAAAAGAATGAGCAGGAAGAACCGCATCATATAATTCATATGATCTTTGGCGGGGTCAATGTTCCACAAGGGCCTATATTCAACCGAACCAAGGTGTCAATCACTAGAGAGAAGCGGACTCGAAGCTATGTGCCCGAAGGCATCCTATCGTTCAATGACGAAGAAGTAGAGTGCATTTCTCAGCCGCACAACGACGCCCTAGTAATTTCTATTTTGTTAAATAAAATTCAAGTTAAACATGTTCTAGTGGATCCAGGTAGCTCAGCAAACATAATCAGATCAAGGGTCGTAGAGTAGCCCGGCCTGCAAGACCAAATTGTGCTTGCATCCCGAGTCCTAAACGACTTCAACATGGCAAGAGAAACAACGAAGGGGGAGATAATCCTACCAGTGAACGTGGCCGGGACCATCCAAGATACAAAATTCCATGTCATTGAAGGCGACATGAGATATAATGCACTACTCGGGAGGCCATGGATCCACAACATGTGGGCAGTACCGTCGACCCTTCATCAGATGATGAAATTCCCAATAGCGGATGGTGTGAAAATAGTTTACGGGGAACAACATGCTGCAAAGGAAATATTTGCAGTCGGCGAGGTGACGCTTATACCAGCGCCTTCGACCTCAGGAAAATCGAGCACCAAAAATAAGCAGATGGCCAAATAGCAATCACCGTCACCAGCTTCGTCCGAACCGGAGAAACAAGTAATCGAAGAAGAAGAAGAAGAGGATTTCCTTACTCCTCGAGCTTTCGTTGTTCCCGAAGAATCAGATGGAACCAAGTCAATGGTCGAAGAGCTGGAACAGGTGATGTTGATCGAGCATCTACCCGAATGTAAGGTATACCTGGGAACGTGGTTAACCCCCGAACTCAGGAAAAAACTCATTCAATTTCTTATCGATAACATGGATTGTTTTGCTTGGTCCCATTTAGACATGACAGGGATCCCACCAGAAATAACAACACACCGGCTAAGCCTCGACCCCAGGTTCAAACCGGTAAAGCAAAAAAGAAGGCCCCAGTCCGAGGTGAAGCATGCATTCATAAAGGATGAGGTAACTAAACTTCTTAAAATAGGGTCCATTCGGAAAGTAAAATACCCCGAATGGTTAGCCAAAGTAGTTGTAGTCCCTAAAAAAGGGAACAAACTTAGAATGTGCGTAGATTACAAGGATTTAAACCAGGCATGCCCTAAAGACTCCTTTCCACTACCTAACATCAATTGCATGATTGATGCCACGGCCGGCCACGAGATCCTTACCTTTCTCGACGCCTACTCCGAGTACAATCAAATTCAGATGAACCCGAAGGACCAGGAGAAGACCTCATTTATCACTAAGTTTGGAACATACTGTTACAATAATGCCCTTCGGGCTAAAAATGCTGGAGGTACATACCATCGCCTAGTTAACAAAATGTTCGAGGAACAGATAGGTAAATCAATGGAAGTTTACATTGATGATATGTTGGTTAAGTCCATGCGCGCAAATGACCATTTAACTCATTTGTAGGAAACATTCAAAATCTTGAGGAAGTACAACATGAAGCTTAACCAAGAAAAATGTGCCTTCGGGGTCGGCTCGGGCAAGTTCTTCGGTTTCATGGTATCAAATCAGGGAATCGAAATCAACCCCGACAAGATCAAGGCCATCGAGGATATCACTATCGTAGATAGCGTGTAAGCGTACAAAGGCTGACAGGACGGATAGCCGCCTTGGGCCGATTCATTTCGAGATCATCAGATCGAAGCCACATGTTCTTTTCCTTACTCAAAAAGAAAAAAAATTTCAAATGGACCCCGGAATGCCAGCAAACATTAGAGGAATTGAAGCGATACTTATTGAGCCCACCTCTACTTCACACTCCGAAGGTGGATGAGAAGTTGTACTTATATTTGGCAGTGTCCGAGGTAGCGGTAAGTGGTGTATTAGTTCGAGAAGAGCAAGGTACACAGTTCCCTGTCTATTATGTAAGTCGGACATTAGGAGATGCAGAAACTAGATATCCACACTTAGAAAAATCAGCACTTGCATTAATAAGCGCATCTAGAAAGCTAAAGCCATATTTCCAGTGTCACCCCATACGTGTGTTAACCACTTACCCTCTCCGAAATGTCTTGCATAAGCCCGAGTTATCGGGTCAATTGGCCAAATGGTTCGTCGAACTTGGCAGGTACGATATCGAATATCAACCCCGAACAGCCATTAAGTCTCAAATCTTAGCTGACTTCGTGCTGATTTTACACCGACCCTCGTACCTGAAGTGGAGAAAGAACTTCCGCTAAAATCGGGTACATCATCGGGGGTATGGACCCTCTTTACGGATGGTGCCTCGAATGTAAAAGGGTCCGGGCTTGGCATCGTTTTGAAGCCACCTACAGGTAACGCTATTAGACAATCTATCAAAACTTCTAGGTTGACTAACAATGAAGCCAGGTATGAGGCCATGATTGCAGGTCTTGAGCTAGCCTCACTTCAGAGACATCTCCAATGCCTACATGAATGAAAATTAGGCATGAGTGAGATAACATCTCCAGTAAAGGGGAAAGCATCACAAACTTGGGAGAAGAACTAACCGTGGTGCTTGGCTTCCCATTTGCCCCTCACCAAATCACGCCATTTGCGCTCGTCATACGAGGAGGTCGCAGCTAATTTCCAGACCCAGTCTTCAAGATCGGTGACCGCATGGGGCATCCAAGCAACCACTGCAAAAGGGCGAAGACATCACACAATGCGAAAACGGAATATAAGAGGATATTGGGGAATGGACTTCATTTACGATCGGGGTTCCATTTCTCTGGGAATGGCATTTTTTCCTCGGGGATGACGTCCGAGGTCCTCACTCGTACGAACCGGCTCATCCAGCCCCGATCCTTATCTTCCTCATTACTAGCAAAGAAGTCCTTGCTCGATCGGCGTTGGAGCTTGATCAACCCTCGGAAAAGCTGAGGCCGATACAATCGGATGAGGTGATTGAGGGTGAACTCTAGCCCCTCGGCCTTGCTGGAGAAATAGCGAAGCATAATCACTATACGCCAGAAAGAAGGATGGATCTGGCCAAGGGTGACCTGATACTTCTTGCAGAAGTCGATCACAATTGGATCGAGGGGACCCAACGTGAAGGGGTAAGTGTAAACACTTAAGAACCCCTCCACATGAGTAGTGATACTTCCTCGGGGTCGGGGATCTGTACCACGAACTCGTCCCCCAACCACAGTCCTTCTTCACGGCTTTGTGGTGCTTCTCCGTTGTCGAGCAAATATACCGGGATACATGCTCGCATCGGCCAGGAATTGCAGGGGGATTTTCAGTGTTGAAATCTTTCTTTATGACTCAGGGGCCGGGAATAATCTCGTGAAGCGCCGACGCCTTATCACCGGCCGACCGGGAAGAGGAAGAAGCCTTCTCCTTTTGAGGAACTGTTTTGGAAGTTTTCGCCATTGATTCGAGTTGGATGAAGTGGAGATAAGCGGAGTTTGATATCTTTTGGCACTAAAAGGGTGAGAATAACAGGTGATTGGAGAGGAAGATGAAGAGGGGGAGAGATAAAGGAAGTTAGAAGATGGTTTGAAGATGGAAGTGAAGTTTTATTCCAATTTGAGCCTTGTATTCATAGGCAAGTGGCGACGGTTCAACGGCGCTAGTGGCCGACCACCACTGGCGAAACATTTAATGTTTTGGGGAAGCGAACCGACGGGACGTTTCGGTCACTTCGAGCGCCTACGTCACAGGAATGACGTCCTCATCAAGGACTCCGAAAAATCGGGACTCAAGTCGTGTCTTATCATTTTATTCTAAGAAACGCAGGGACTATCTGTATACGGTCAAAATCATATGTCCTCGATTTTGTAGGCTCGAGGAGTCGCATCGAGAACAAGTTCAATATGGACCGAGCTTGAGCCTGAAGGCAGAATACGAAACTCAAAGATCAAAGTGCTCGATGAATACCGAGGCCGAGTATGACCAACCTCGAGATAATACCGTTATGATTTTATAATAGAAAGAGGGAGATTCACGCGGAGGCCCTAAGATCACGACGTAAATTCTGGAATGGATTTGTACTAGGCGGTTAGACAGCTGTATAATAAGATTCCCTACTATATTGTACTTTATTTAGGATTCCCCTACTATATAAAGGGGACCCCAATCATTTGTAACGCATCATTCAATCATTGAGAAGAGAATATACATTTTGACTTTTTTGCCTACTGTTCATTTGACTCTACTTATCATTATTTTATTGTTCTTGTTCATTTACCTCGAGGTCGCCTTAGCCCGAGGTCGAGACAAGCTTATACACCGGTTTGATTTATCTTACTCTTTAATTTATACACTTGATTCCTTGTTTATTAGTTAGTATTGGCAAGTTTAATTGTTGCTGGGATTTTAGGGTAAACAGTTCTCAATCCCAAAAGGTCAAGAGTTATGATTGGAATTTACATTAACTATAAAGTAGATTATAGTGATCGTGGTTGGTCACCTACTAAATTATAAAAAAAATTGATGCACAATTTTTTTTATAAGGTAAAGATTTATAAACTAATTTAATTTAGTAAGTTCATAAAGTCGTTTCTAAAGAAGTTAAACAAGAAAAAAATATATCAGAAATGGAGAGTATTAAATACGCTTGACTTATGGCACATGCCAATAGATTAGCCACGGAGCTGCATATATAGCGTGAACTTTCGCAGAAGGTGAATCACAAATGTGAGCTATTTTCTTCATTCCTAACGGCTCATATCACAACTATTCCTTTTCTTCATTCTTTTCTATATGCTCGAGATTCAATGGAAGCAAAAGTTCTGTCCAGCGGAATTCGCCACTCTACTCTCCCTCAAACTTATATCCGCCCTCATTCCGATAGGCCACGCCTTTCTGAAGTCGCTGATTGTGAAAATGTTCCGGTAATTGACATGGGCTGTGGTGATAGAAACCTTATTGTTCATCAAATTGGCGAAGCCTGTCGTCTTTATGGTTTTTTCCAGGTTCTTATAATCTCACCAATTGTCTAATTTTTTGGTCCTTTTTGCTATATGTATGGTAACTAACGAGGAACTTTTAAAACTTTATGATTAGGTAATTAACCATGGTGTACCAAAGAATTTAGTAGAGGAAATGCTAGAGATAGCTCGGGAATTTTTTAGGCTTCCAGTTGAAGAGAAGTTGAAGTTGTACTCAGATGACCCATCCAAGACAATGAGATTGTCCACTAGTTTTAATGTGAAAAAAGAGACGGTTCACAATTGGAGAGATTATCTCAGACTTCATTGTTATCCTCTGGAAAAATACGCTCCCGAATGGCCTTCCAATCCTGCCTCTTTCAGGTAAACAAATAAACTCTTCACCATGTACTAATTGTGTTAATCTATATTAATTTCATTATGTTAATGAATACATTGCTGTCTGAGTCATTAGTTTAATCCTTATCATGTCAACCTTTTTTATTTTGTTGTAAAAATGCATGGAAGTAAAAATAGAATAATATCAGTGCATAACGAGGTGTTGTCACGTATCTGAGTTGTTTACACATAATTAATTATATAAAATATTTTAAAGAGTATAATCTTTTTGGGCATGTGTTAGGCACGTGTCAGGTGTTTGTCAGTTGTTTGTCAGTTGTACAGAAAAATAAATATACCTTGAAACGATATACTTAATAAATTAGTTTGATTGTGGTAATTAGCACTAATAAATTATTTCATTTTAGCGGAATCATTCTGAAGACAAAGGGTCAAACCAATAAAAAAAATTTATTAAAATTATTTTTTTGTTGCTCTCACGAAATTCATGTAATCTCCCTAACCTTTTAGAGAGTGCATTTTCCATGTGAATGTCCTAACCATTTTCAATTTCTTTATCTTTACTTTTGACATTTTAATGAGTATTTAAGAAGTATATCAAATTGGAGGAATCTGATCAAGAGGATTACTTAAGTTAGTGAGCACCTGTATTTCTATCTAATATTTTCAAAGTTCGAATCATATGAAAAGTAGGTGAAAATACTCTTGATTTCTTAAAAATTAAAGCAAGTAAGAAAATAAAATCCTGACCACTTAACTTCATTTGGAGAAAGGAGAAACTGAAAATCAATGACTAGATTTTTGAATGGACAAAAAGAGGGGAATAGGCGATAGAGATAATAGAAATAAGCATGTGAGGCCACATCTGACTATTTCAAAAATTTAAGTGTCGTGCCTCGGATTCAGCAGTCATGTGCTGCCAAATAAAAATACTCCAGTAAGCACCATTCCTCCATGCCCAAGGCACAATTTTTCTATCGCGACTTTCGGCTTGATTACGTCATGTCTAACAAATATGATGACACCATTTTAGTTGCTATATTAGCCCAGTAGTTGACACGTAATCAATGGGAGCGTCACCATTTCGATGACGTCAGAATTAGATAGGGAGGTGGCGTAAGCAGACAAAGCGATAATGATGGTATTGCCCAACTTGTGCTTTTTGTCGGCTAGTACGAGTAGGAAGCGACGACTCTCAAGTCTCCTCTAATTGCGGGTGATTTTATTTTGTGTCTCACGTAACTTATGTTAGTTGTGTGAGATTTTTTTTTATTCCACATATTTGGATCCATATCTTACACAGTTGGGTCCACAAAAATTCTAGGACCACATAGTTGTGAGACAAAAAAGAGACCTCACACAACTAGTATTGGTTGTGTGAGACACAAAATAAAATTTTTCTCTAATTGCATACTTTTGGCAAGAAGTGAAAAAGATAGTTAAAAAGTACTTCCTCCGCTTTCACTATTCTAAAAATATATTTTTATTTTTACTCGTCACTTTTAACATATAAACAAAAAATATTTTTCTTCTTATTTTATCCTTATTATTAACTATTTTTTTCTCAAATCATTTCCCAAAACTTTTTGAAATACTTTAATTATTATAGTTAAAATTATAGAAGACATACTTCATTTATTTTTTTCTTAAAGAAAGTACAAGAAAAATTAAAAATAAAGGGAAGGAGTACTTTTGCTTTTAGCAAATGGAGAACATGTATTTGCTACAAGAAAAAGTACTACTCCCTCCGTTCCAATTTATGTGAACCTGTTTGACTAAATACGGAGTTTAAAAAAAAATGAAGACTTTTGGAATTTGTGGTCCTAAACAAGTCAGAAAGAGGGCCAGAGTATTTGTGTGGTTATAAAAGCTTCTCATTAAGGATATAATTGTAACTTTAAGCTAAATTGTTACCAAATTTAGAAAGGGTTTATTTTTTTTGGAACGGACCAAAAAGGAAATAGGTTCACATAAACTGGAATAGAGGGAGTACTTAGATACTTAAAAAAATAAAGTACACTTTCTTTTTTCAAAAAATCATAATAATATAAAAGTACAATAGGGGATAGAAAAATTGCCTTGAACATTTCAGCCCTTGATTTTCGTTCTTGTACATTTTTCCCTCGGGGAAAAAATATACCTGGACGCAAAAGTGGCCTCTGGAAGGACAAGAAGGTGGACTGTTGGAGTAGGACAAACTAGGCTTAAATAAAGAGTAAATGAAGAAAATATAAGAAAAGAAAAGGAAAACAGGATGGAAACAGAAATAGAAATATATTTTAAAGGAAAATAAAAGAAGAAAATTTATTCGAAGAAAAAAAAAAGTGTATATATATATTAAGGAAATTGCCATACCAAGTTTAATAGCATGGAGTTTAATTGAAAGCTTAATACAAGAATATATACTTATAATGAAAAATAATTTGTTTGTAAGACAACATTTAACACAGTCACTTTTTATATTACCGTTCGTCAGAGCAGAAGTCATTTTTAATAGAATTTTTACCCTCCTTTTCTCGAGAATCGTCCAAAAGCCAACTAATTACCTAGGCATAATTAGTGACGAGTTTCCTTTTTAGCACGCCCATTAAGAAAATGCTAAATGCTATACAAAAATATCTAGTATGACTAAATTACCCTTATTAAATATTGGTCACATAGTTATAGTAAGGAGTGAAAAACTTTTTAGGGATATGCACGTAAGGGTAAAAGAGTAAAAACAAATTAAATTTTTTCTTAATTACCTAACTATACACTTATTTTGAACCAAAATAAAAAAGTAAACTGGTCACTTATTGTGAACCGAAGGGAGTATTTACGTATTTGTTTATATATTACATTGGATAGACAACTATATCAGAAAACGTTATATATTTTTTCGTTTTTTTATAATAACGAGTAATGACGGTGGGTGAGCAATCAGGATCAAAGCATATAAATAAGAATATGCAGCTTTTGAAGGGTTTGAAGGAACTAAAACGCATTTTTCAGTACTAATTATTGCCAAACGAAAGAGACTTGGAACATAAATTCAATGGAGTAACGTAAGCCAAAGAATAATTAATGGGGTTTTTGGTTTAATAATCATGGAGCATTTGGTTATGTTTTGTAGCAGAGACTGAATGGTATAGAATTCGAACCCGACGTAGCACATCTATTTGTTTATTTATTTTATTGTGATTGTAGATGGTTCTTTCACCCAACCCCAGATCATAAAGGTCACCATCAAAATTGATTCTTCTTTAATCTTATTTTCCACTAATTAAGAGCAGTAATTGTCTGTGCTAATTGCGGCTGGTTTCACGCGTTAATTTAAGTTTTAGTGTTCTAGTTGCATTTCTGCTAAGCTTTCAGATTTGCCGGTTGCCGACGTTTAAAGTTTCTTTAGGTAGAGGTGGACTTTTGGAACGCCGAAGTAGCATTTGTTTATTTATTTTCCTGTGATTGTAGATGGTTCTTTCACCCAACCCCAGATCATCAAGGTCACCGTCAAAACCGATTTTAATCTTATTTTCCACTAATTAAGAGCACTAATTTGTCAGTGTTAATTGCGGCTGGTTTCACGCGTTAATTTTTAGCTATCTAGTTGCATTTCTGCTTAGCTTCCAGATTTGCCGGTTGCCGACTTTGTCTTTTTAAAAGTTTCTTTAGGTAGAGGTAGACTTTTGAATACATAGAAGATATGTATTGCTAATTGATTTTGTAGCCCATTATATTTTTTTGTCGAACTTCTTAAAAGATCATTAAATAACACAAGAAATTTTGTAGAACTGTAATATCCCGCTCTGCCTAATTTATTTTATACATAGGGGGTAGCGGAGGAAGAATTGGAAGAGGGTACAAGGTGCCAACAAAAGAAAATTTAGGTAGTCAATCCCTTAAGCTACTAAGATTTTCCTTACGTGTTAACTATCTACCTTGTTCCATTACCTCCAACGTTAGAATTAGAATGATAGATTGGGTCTGCACAATTTGAAGATACATGGAGATTTTTAAAAATAGTAAGATTTACAACTGGTCGTTCAAAAATATCCCAATTTCAAAAGTAATCAAAATTTAGCAACTTTTTATGTAAAGATAAATCTGAGCGAAAATACTGTTCAAAACCCGAAAAATACTCCAGTATATTATGCTGGAGTTCCAGCATAAGTATACTTGAACTCCAGCATATTATATTGGAGTTCCAGGATAGTATGCTGGAACTCCAGCATAATATGATGGATATGCTGGAGTTCCAGCATAAGTACACTAGAACTCCAGCATAATATACTGGAGTTCCAGCAAGTATAATAGTCCAGTATAATATACTGGAGTTTGGAGCACCAGTGCTCCAGTCTCCAGTATATTATACTGGAGCCAACAAAGTATACCGGTCCACCATAATATGCTGGAGTTCATACACAAGTGCGCCTAACTCCAGTATATTATGCTGGACCGGTCTCTATTGCAGCAAAACAGTGGCTATTTTTCATTGACTTGGTAAACGCTGGCTATTTTTGATTGACCAATCCGAAAACTAGCTATACCGTGCTATTTTTACCAGTACAGGCTGTTTTTGCTTGGGCTTTAAGTCAGCACTGGAAGGACATGGGCCGCTTCAACTTTAGTGCAAGGTTTTAAACCTTAGCACAACTTTACATTTATTGTGTAAGATACTAATTTTTGACTAATATTGTCCCTTATGTTTGAGGGTAGGTCTATTTTGGTCCTTCAACTATAACCCTGAGCATATTTAATCCATTAAGTATGCTAAAGTGGATCACCTTTAGTCTTACTGACACAATGTGTTCAAAAACTGACGGTGTTCTGATTCATGAAGCAATTCTTCTGCTCTGAAGCAAAATGTTTTCTCACATTTTATTGGATAATGCAAATTATCACTTTAATTCCTTATTTTTAGATAACGTCTTCTAAAATTTTGATCTTGAAAATATCCCCTCCCGTGCTTTTCGATGAAAAGATGACACTATATAGATGCTGTAAATATAATAGCCAAAAAAATATATAAAATTTGTATATTTTTTTGTATATATATACATTAAAAAATTTCGATCGATTCTTCCAAAAAGAAAAGTTAAATTTTGAAAAAATAGAGCTGCCAGGATCACTTCTAGGCATATTATTGAAGCAAATGATTAACCAGGTTGTATTATTACTGTTAGCCAGTGTCAGAAACTATTTACATCTGGTAGCCGAAAAAGTATATAATTTTTGTATATTAACATACAATATATATATACACACACACATACATACAAATTTTATATTTTTTTTACTATTATTTCTACAGCGGCTATACAGTGTCATTTTCTCATTGAAAACTGGCACAGAAGGGTACATCTACAAGGTCAAAATTTTAGAAGACATTATCTGAAAATGAGGAATTAAAGTGATAATTTGCGTTATCCAATAAAAGGAGAGGAAACGCTTTGTTTCAGAGTAGAAGATTTGCTTCATGAATCAGAGATGGGTAACACCGTTAGTTTTTGAGCACATTGTGTCAGTGAGACTAAAGGTGCTCCACTTTAGCATGCTTAGGGGACTAAATATGCTCAGGATTATATGTGAAGGACTAAAATAGACCTATCCTCAAAGATAAGGGACAATATTAGCCAAAAGCTCTGTAAGATACTATAGCTGATATTTCTATGTATGTTAGTATCTGTTTCTGTAATTTGAAGATATTTCCACTTTGCTTTGAAAAGTCTAATATGATGATACTTTTATAATAGGAGGATTTAAATTGTACAGGCTAACAATGTAAAGAATATTAAGACTATCAATGTATTTTAATGGGTTATAGTTTTCCTTGTACTAGGAGTTAAATGTTACACACTGACGGTATAAAAAATTATTTAAGTGGATGTATAATATTTTGGAGTAGGCCAAACTATGATGAGGGTGTAAGAGGGTGTTTGGCTAAGTTTATAAGCTGGTTAAACTGGCTTATAAGCACCTTTTGGCTTATCTACACGTTTGGTAAAATTAAAAGTGTTTATAAGTTAACTGCTTATAAGTCAAAAATAAGGCAAAAGCCATAAGTTGGTCTATCCCAACTTATCAAATTTCAGCTTATAAGCACTTTAAGTTCGACCAAAATATTTACTATTCTATCCATAAAATACTTCTTTTTAAAACAAAATTCTTCGTATACCCTATTTTTCAGCTGCATATTATTAATTTCAGCAGACGGTTATTGTAGAGGATTTCAGTATATGTTCTTGGTACATTATTTCTTTTAATTGGAAGAAGAATTAATTAATCGTAATTGTCATTGTTCCGGTTGACAGGGAAATAGTGAGCAGATATTGCACAGAGGTCCGACAGCTCGGATTCAGATTGCAGGAAGCCATAGCAGAGAGCCTAGGCTTAGAGAAAGAGTGTATAAAGGATGTATTGGGTGAACAAGGCCAACACATGGCTATCAATTTCTACCCTCCTTGTCCACAACCAGAGCTCACTTATGGGCTGCCAGCACATACTGATCCAAATGCCCTTACTATTCTTCTTCAAGACTTACAAGTAGCTGGTCTTCAAGTTCTTAAAGATGGCAAATGGTTGGCTGTCAAACCTCAGCCAGACGCCTTTGTCATTAATCTTGGTGATCAACTGCAGGTAAATCAGAACTCCCTTTAGTACACTTGATTTGTTACTTATACACAAGTTAACCGGTGTCTATAAGTTCCGTCCATAAATTAGAGCTCGTTTGGATTAGTTGATTGTATATAGCTGTTTAGTTTGAAGTACCGAAAATCATTTTAAATGCTGAAATTGCTTTTTTAAATAAGTATTTACGTGTTTGGATAGATGTGCTGAAACTGATAATAAACAGTTGATGATTAACTATTTTTTTGTAAAGATTATAAAAAATACCCTTAAAACTTTATAAGCTTAGCCAAACGCGTAGATAAACTAAAAGATGCTTATATGCCAGTTTGACCAACTTATAAGCTTAGCCAAACATTGTATTAATACATTTTGGTCATGTTCATTCTTCAGGCAGTGAGTAATGGAAGATACAAAAGTGTATGGCATCGAGCTATTGTAAATTCAGACAAAGCCAGGTTGTCAGTGGCTTCATTCCTTTGTCCGTGCGATAGCGCGAAAATCAGTGCTCCAAAGCTCCTCACTGAAGATGGATCTCCAGTCATTTATCAGGACTTTACATATGCTGAGTATTACAAGAAGTTCTGGAGCAGGAATTTGGACCAGGAACATTGTTTGGAACTTTTCAAGAACTAAAAAGTTAAGGCTATAGTATTTAAAAATCCACCATCTTCATCCTGGACAATCTCTTTGCAAAATTTACTATTTTTCATGTTTTTTACCCTTTTTATTTTAGTTTTGAGCGATAGTTATGGGGTGGAGTTAAATTAGAAAAAAGAAATAGTTATATGTTCATTGCCTAGCTGATCAAATTACCCAAGAGTCCAGCGTCCTGTTTTGCAATTTGCTGTCAAGTAGTATTAGCAATAATTAGCTGGGAAAGTTGGACTACAGATCTTGTTGGAATTAAGAGGAATAGCGGTTTAGTCCAGTTGTAATAGGAATAAGATTAGTACTTATTGTTTAATTACTCTATTTCCATTTACTTCCTTCTGTGAAAGTTCATGTGTATCCTATGAATCCGATCAACTTTTGTTCTTGTAGTATGAGGTAGCCGCGCAAAAGAATAATAATTCAAGTTTGTTGATTATTCTGAAGTATGCACACAGTGTATCAACATCGCATACTCTCAACTTTGCTCTAGAGCTGAAGTTTGCGAGTTACAAAATAAAAACTTCAGCTCTAGAGCTGAACTTTAGGTCCGGCTACTAAAATGCTGAAGTTTTGTGTGATTGTCTTTGCTACTTTAGCCCCCCATGCTGAAGTTATGTGAAAAAGCGGGTACGCTTGCAATTTTTTTTGCAAAGCGGGTACAGGTTAAAATGTGACACAAAAAGCGGGTATAGATGCAAATGCCCCATCCTAAGAAAGGATTAAAATTATGGATCAAGCATACCTATGGACTGACTTTATACTGGAAGATGGGCTAAGTCCAAGATCTACATTCAAACTAGGGGTGTGCATTCGAATCGGTTTATCGATAAATCGAATCGATTATTTGTTATCAAAATCAAAATCGAAAAAATCGAAACCTTATTGAAACGATAACGATAAGCATATGTACAAATCGATAATCGATAAGTAATTATCGATAAGGGTCAAAATCAAATCGATAAATCGAATGCACACCCCTAGACTGTAGACACTTGTTAAATGAGTAATTACCTATTTGTGTAGATTAATATAACATACAGAATGTATATATATTCCGCTACTATTTTGAAAGCGGCTATACAATATTATTTTCCCTAATCTATACCCTTTCCTTCACCCTAAGTCCCTTGCCCTATTATTTCCTCTACCACATTTAAGGAATGATCATATTTAAAGATCAAGGGAATGAAGTTCAAATTAATGGAAAACAGAATTAGCAGTGATGATGTGTTTTGTTTTGTTTTGTTTTTTTATACCGTTGGAGTGTTGGTGGCATACATTTGATCCCTTACTTTAGTTTTGTTGCATGTGCTTGTTGACACAATTTTTATATTATAAATGGTGTTCGTCTTATTTTAGCTTCTTTTTGTCCATATTAGTTATGCGCGTTTATAGCGATATACTTTTCGTGGAATCCCGCAAATTTTCTTATTGGTGTAATCGATAACCGAATCGATAAGCCCCCAAAATTGATAAATCGAAATCGAAAAAATCAAAACTTTATTGAAACGATAACGATAAACATATGTACAAATCGATAATCGATAAGTAATTATCGATAAGGGTCAAAATCGAATCGATAAATCGAATGCACACCCCTAATTCAAACGATGTTTTGAGCCCAAATCGCCTTGTAAAGGAGGAATTATTGTATGATTTAATAGGGTCAAACGGAGATTTTTAACCGAGAAAGATCGGTTTATAACTATTTCTTGCATCATGAATCATGATGATGAGAATCAGCTGAACAGAATTGTTGAACATGCCACCTGTTAATTCTACATGATTTTGGACGTGTAGAAATAATATAGAATTTGAATCTCATGCTCACATATATCAAAGAAAATCGCTCACCCTCACAAAAGAAGTCACATGCATGCAATTGGTACCATAAGCTTGCCCTTAATGTAAATCTCTACTAATGTAGGCTCACTCGATCTAAAATCAATTAGGACTTTTTCATGGTTGTAATGTGGGCTAAGGGACGGGTAGGATATATTTAGGAATAGTGACNAAAGTATAGAACAAAGTAAAAAAGTAGAGTTTTAGATCTAGTGAGGTTATTGTGATTCCAAAGTCTGTCCTAAAGGGGAATGGGGGAGGGATTTATATAGTGATAGAAACCAACATATAAACATGGAAACAAATCAATAAGATGCAAGGAAATATTTGCAGAATCAGATATAGGTAATTTAAGGCATAAATCAAGGGATTCAACAAATTAAGGAAGTACCCCAAAATTACTCGGAGTATTTAAGGCAGAACACATAATACCAAAAAAAACATATCGTTCAGAATATTAGGCAGACAAAAAATTAGGGAAACCAAAATTATTAAGAATATTCAAGCAAGTATTAAAGAAATCACAAGTAATGCCAAAACAAAAGAGATTATTCAGTATACTTAAGCAAATATTTAGGGAAACATAAATGATACCAAACGAAAAATTATTCAGCAAATAATACCAAAACAAAAGGTTATTCAAAATATTTAAGCAAATGTTAAAGTAAAAGTCAGGGAAAACATAAAGAATCAAAAACAGAAAGGAATGGTTTACTAGAATCAGTAAGAAAAGGAAAAGATTCAAAACCCTAGTTTTTTAGGGAAAGTATGAAATCAATAAAGAAAGCCTAAAATCATTTTTCAAACCGAGCATCACCTCAAATTTCGCTTCAACTCACATACCGGGCAAGTTCTAGACACAAGTACAATACATAGACTATACAAAAACCTCACCACACATGGCATATGACTCATTCCAGATCAGCTCATCAAGACGCTCTATTACGAGCATTCAATTCAGTAACATACATACAGATTAAGGCACTTTAGTGAGATTCAACACATAAAACTAAGCGTTACACTCTAGGGTCTATTGTGTTCAGGTGTGTCAACGCTATAGGTTCTCTTTTGATTCTCTAGCTCGTAGCCCATTAAACCTAATCTACAAATCAAAAATAAAAAAAATTAAACTAACAAAAAAAAAACTACTATACCCGGTTCAAGTTAAACCCTTGGAAAAGAACCGTGGCCCAAAGAAAAACCAAGGGGGAGTTACTATACTACCTAAAAATAAAAAAAATAAAAATCTTTTTGGTATTTTTCTAAACTAACTTCCCTCAAGAAAATTGTCCAAAGGATCCGTCGTCAGGAAGAGTCTTCATATTTCCATTTTTTTTCCGACTCAGTCCCTCAAGAACCCTGCCGAAAGGGATCCATCGTCGGGACGAGCCACTTATCTACTTTAAACTAATGATTCCTACTCAACATCCCCAAAACTATCAAAGCAAAGTGAAACAAGACGACATTCAAGTGATACAACTACAGACATACAATGAAGTACCCCCCACCCCACACTTAAAAATGAAGACATGTCCCCATGGCTTAAAATTTGAAAGAGCAGTGAGGTGAAGGAACTTCCCTGAAGGCTCACTCCTGGTCGGAGACGGTGTCTGGGTTGACGTTGCACGCACGACCCAGAGCTCGCAGCCAGCCCATGAATTTCTTTTCCAACTTCACTTGTCGGTCAGCTACCGCGTCTACTCGGGTGCCCAAATCAGTCATGGAGGTTCGCAAACCAGCCATCTCCTGCTCCAAAGCAATGAAACGGGACAACCGGGAAGCTCCTGAAGATGTTGCAGTCCCAGATGGTCCTGCAGCTGCCACATTTTGCTCCTGAGCCTGTGGTGTTGCTCCCACGTTCTCCTTAGCGTCCTCCTCATCCTCCGAATCATCGAAGCTACTACTCTCCGCCTCCTCTGCTACTGCCGGCTCCTTACCTGTTGTCACCTTATCAGCACGGAACTTGCCCTCCCTTTTTACCAACCCATCCACAGCTAGATTTTCGGGCACCCGAGCATCCCTGCATAGTTGAGTCACTAAAGAAGGGAAAAAAAATCCATACCTTTTGACTTGGCTGCGGACGAATATCTCTTCATGCATCACTTTGGCCACATCAAAGTCGGGACCATTTACAAAGCACCAAATCAGAGCAGCTCGGGGTCCATTGACCTCTGTAGTGTTGTGAGACGGAATCAGACGGTTGTTAATGAGATGGAGCCAGCACTTCCCTTCAAAGGTTAGTGCGGAGGAGTGGAATTTCTCCCCATAGTCCATCCAGACCACTTCTTTCCCAGGTACACAAATTGTCTCAAAGAATCGCGCCCATTTTGCGTTCGTTGGGTAGCGGCCGTACTCATAGAAGTCATCATGAACAGCCGGAGGTGGAGGCAGCTGGTAGGCCGTCCGTATCGCCTCAACAGAAGCATTCACCGCCCTTCGGCGCACCGTGACTACTCCATTATCATGCTCCGGCACATTGGCATAGAACTCCCGCACAACCATTGCATTGCCCTCACCGGACTCATTGATGAAGGTTTGCAATCCTCGCCTCACCAACTCATCATACATGTGAGGGCAGTGTCGCTGGAGCTGTCCGACGTGAATACCCCTCTCCGGAATTGGCTTTTTACGAGCCTTTTCCGTAAAGCGGTCCTGAGCCTTGGCCGAAACAAATTTTGTAGCATCAAAGGAACGTGCAGGTGCAGCCCCTCTTAACCTAGCCGAACCAGCCTGGCTGCTCGATGAGGCCCCTGTGGCGCGCCATTTCCTAGATGGAGTCATGATATCTGCAAAACGGGAACACATTAGCACAACCCAACAAAAATTTGTGACGCAATGCGGTTACTCAGACTTCACACGCAGAAGCAGTCACAAATTACATAATCACGTTCATTGGGGCCTTTCCACAAATACCTTGTGGGCATTAGACTTTCACAATCCCTTTGAAGCTTTTTAGAATAAGAATCACCCACATACACTCACCAACATCACAAATCAAGTGGAATTTCACCCCACACTTATCACTCACCAACACCATAATATATTTCTCTAATTTCTCTACACAAAATCTAAGTACAACTACTATAACAATGGCATAAGACACAACAAAAATCTGAAAAATAAAAAGAGAAAAAAAAGGAGAAGAAAAAGAAAAGGAAAAGAAACTAGGGTTCATACCTGTAGTTGGAGATGGTGGTGAGTAGAGAAAGAAGATGGGGAAGAAGATGGTGAGCTTGGGATGGAGGAAAGGATTTGGGACTGGGGTTTCATTTTGTTTGAACGGGGGAATAGACGAAGGGGACTGGGGTTATGTTTTGGATGAACGGGGGAATTAGAGAGGGGGGGGGGGTTATCAGAGAGGGGGAATAATTAGAACTAAAGCCTAAACAAAATAAAAAGAAAACGGAACTTAAAATACAAAAACGCCGATTTTTAGACGGGACTAGCGCGCCCAGATGCGCGAGCGCGCTAGTTTTAGCGCGGCCAAGACAGAACGCTGAGCAACTAGCGCGGTCGCGCTAGTAGCACGTCCAGATGCGCGAG